ATCAAAACCAGCTAATACAACCCCCCCAATAATCATACTTCCCCCGTAATGGGTGGAGACCTCAACCCCCCCAATGGTCCAGCCAAAGTTACACCCTTGCATCCACATGTCGCCCTCATCCTCCTGGTCGATTCATTCATCTTCCTTTTGATAATTTGGTCTCAACTCAATGCAAAGACACAGCTAATAACTAATAGGAGATCTTGGAGTTGAGAAATCCACTGCCAGGTCCCACTTGGTGTGGCAGGATGCATTTTTGTTTTTGCTGTGGGTGAAACAGTGTCTACCCGCACTGCATTCACATCTTCCTCACACATCTTTCGCAAACACACTTCACAAGCTATTTTTGGGGCTGTCTAATTGGGCAAAAGGTGTCTTCCTGTCTTTCTGGCTGAATGACTGACAATGTAGATATTAGTACATAGTTCATAAATATACACAGTACTTTCTATTTGTGTAGAAGACCATCTTATAAAAGGAAATAAGCACATGTTCTCATTAAAATCCTTTAAAATGTTTTAACACTGATGTAGAGCCTTCCAAAACTAGAAATGCTGCATAAGACTGATGTGCAAAATTGCCATTTGCTTGGTTTAGGAGTTCTGGCATCTATGGAAGGACAGTCATAGATGATGATCTCCAGCTTGGTGTCAACATGAAATTATAACAGTGTTTGTCTGTCGAATGTTTGTCTTATGCTGCCCCACGAGAAAAAAAGCATCTGCTATCTTTAACTGGAATCAGCTGAACCAAATCTTTGGTTCACTAGTGAGCCTGTGGTCAGTTCTCTTCTGCTTACTGGTACTTCATAATAACTCTTAGATTAAATATGTCTCTGCTATTTTTTTCTTCTTGGTTTATATCTACCCCAGTGAGTAGCTGAGAGGTTGTGGTAGCATCTCAGCGGTGTGAGCAGGGCGTATACTAGAGGAGCAGAGTCACGTCATTATCAGTATCTGTATCTATTAAACTGACAAAATTATCTGTCCCTGAATGCGTATTCGGATAGAAGTGGGTGTGGTTTATACCAGAAGTTTCATAAAATTATATTTTCTAACCTATTATTCACTGGTGATGCACTTGTTTGGCCTTAACTAAACTAAGTTTTATGAACTGTCTGCACCTCCCCCCCAGAAACTGAAAAAGTAGTTTTATAAATTGAAAGATTCTATTTTGCATTGGAAACAGAAATTATTTATACTAAAGGTATAAAGAAAAATATCCTTCAGTTGAAGGGAATAATGTTAAATTCCAACGATGCAGTTGGTTGATGTTAATGTTACTGCAGTTTGCTGCAGTAGTTGGCACTCTTGTCTCTCACCTCTGGGACCAGCATTCTGGTTTCATGTGTGAGTGAATGGTGTGAGAGTGACTGGTGTGTGAGTGAATGGTGTGAAAGTGACTGGTGTGTGAGTGACTGTTGTGAAAGTGACTGGTGTGTGAGTGAATGGTGTGAGAGTGACTAGCATGTGAGTGAATGGTGTGTGAGTGAATGGCGTGAGAGTGACTGGCGTGTGAGTGAATGGTGAGAGAGTGAGTGGCGTGTGAGTGAATGAAGTGAGAGTGACTGATATGAGACTGAATGGTGTGTGAGTGAATGGTGTGAGAGTGACTGGTGTGTGAGTGAATGGTGTGAGACTGACTGGTGTGTGACTGAAAGGTGTGAGACTGACTGGTGAGTGAGTGAATGGTGTGAGAGTGACTGGTGTGTGAGTGAATGGAGTGAGAGTGACTAGCCTGTGAGTGACTGGTGTGTGAGTAAATGGTGTGAGAGTGAGTGGCGTGTGAGTGAATGGTGTGTGAGTGAATGGTGTGAGAGTGACTGATATGAGAGTGACTGGTGTGTGAGTGAATGGTGTGAGAGTGACTGGTGTGTAAGTGAATGCTGTGAGACTGACTGGTGTGTGAGTGAATGGTGTGAGACTGACTGGTGTGAGACTGAATGGTGTGAGAGTGAATGGCGTGTGAGTGAATGGTGTGAGAGTGACTGGCGTGTGAGTGAATGGAGTGAGAGTGACTAGCGTGTGAGTGAATGGTGTGATAGTAACTGGTGTGTGAGTAAATGGTGTGAGAGTGACTGGCGTGTGAGTGAATGGTGTGAGAGTGACTGCCGTGTGAGTGAATAGTGTGTGAGTGAATGGTGTGAGAGTGACTGGTGTGTGAGTGAATGGTGTGAGAGTGTCTGGTGTGTGAGTGAATGGTGTGTGAGTGAATGGTGTGAGAGTGACTGGTGTGTGAGTGAATGGTGTGAGAGTGTCTGGTGTGTGAGGGAATGCTGTGAGACTGACTGGTGTGTGAGTGAATGGTGTGAGAGTGACTGGTGTGTGAGTGAATGGTGTGAGACTAACTGGTGTGTGAGTGAATGCTGTGAGACTGACTGGTGTGTGAGTGAATGGTGTGAGAGTGACTGGTGTGTGAGTAAATGGTGTGAGACTGGTGTGTG